AATACCTAGGGTCGTATTCTAGAACTCTAGTCAATGCTCAAGTCAGGATTGGACTGGCAACACAAGCACTGGAAATACGACCCTAATGGCAGGGACTTGAGTATGTCAAGTGCTTTAAACCATACTCAAATCCTAACTTGAGCATTGAGTAGAGTTCTAGAACACGACCCTTAGTGTCTCTTTGAGTAAATTTATTTAGTCTCGACTCATTAAGTTGAATAAATATGAGTATTCAGCAAGTTACAGTAAGTTAATCACTTGTTAGTATCAAATTATCTGTATTCCACAAATTTAGTTTCCTTATTATATTAAAGTGTCCGTATTCAGGAAGTTTAGCTCATTCTTAGCATTCAGATATTAGTATTCAGTAAGTTTAGTTTACTTGTAGTATTATATTGTTAGTGTTCAATTACATTTATTTATCAGTATGTGTACTTATAAGTATTCAGTCAGTTTTGGTACAAAAGCGTAGGTATTTAATAAATTTTAATTTGATTTAAGGTTGTGCCTTCAGTAAGTTTAGTTTACTAATTGATATTAAGGTGTCTAGGTTATGTGTCTAGGCTACTTAGCATGCAGGCAATAATTATTGACTCTCTTGTTTCTTAATGTTAAAGTACGAGTAGAGCACCTTGTGTAAGAGTTCGTCCAGGCAAATTCTGCCATCTTACCTATATCTGCCGTATCAAGGAGTAACGTGAGAATTGCTGCGTTCCGGCTATAAAGAGTAAGGGCGTTGGTGACATTACAGGCACATGGGACTTATCAAGTTATGTCCCAGGGTAACAGGCGTATTGGCATTGTCCCTCGGCGCTTTGCGATTTAAAGCTCGTAAGTGGCACTGCAACTGCTATGGACAGGCGAACATCAGTCGCACGACCTGCTCGTCCCGTCACTTAAGTATCTTAAAAAAGTATGTGTGTGTAGTAGTATAGCTATAATTTAATATTTAATAATATTTTGTCATAATATTGTTGTTATATATTGCTTAGAAAATAGAAGGCGTCGCGACTACGCAAAATTTTTACAATGTTTGTAATATGAATTCAGTGTATAACAAATATTCAGTAAATAAAAGACATGTCATGTATGTTTGAATGTGAACAATGTGAATAAACCTTGCTCCGTTTTAAGTCAAGCTTTGTGGTTTCTGGAGTGACAGTCGTCACTAGTCACCTCGTAAAATATTTGTGTACAAAATGTTACTTGTTGTGACCGCTAGGGGCGCTGTAAACAATATTATTGTGAGGCATTATACGTGATCATACGAGACTATCAACGAAGCACATGGTAGAGGCAATGAATTTGCGCCACTGGATTTTCGGAGATTTAGTTTGTTTATTTTCACCTTTTATTTACAGTATTACGTCACTCTTTATTCTTGAGTATTCTGCCCCTGTTTATATTTGCAAAATTAATCACTATTCACGTGATTACGAATTCTGACACAAACCTTGACTGTTTTCTGTAATGGAGAATGAGAATAATTAGGTGCAATATTCAATGTTAACATTTTTTATTCCGTTCTGAACGGTTACACGATGTCGTGTAAAGAATGAGAAACGAGAACCCGATCTTACCACCCGAACGGGTATTACTGACCACTCGGCGTAAAAGTGAAATTACAGGTACATGGGACTTGTCAAGTTGTCTCAGGGTAACGGGCTCAGTGCATAAACACCTCAGATCTTTGCGATTTAAAGCTCTGTATAGCACTACAACTGATATGGACAGGCGTGTAGCTTACCATCAGGCAAATGATTTGTTCGTTTCGTCACTTGACATAATAATAAAAAAACACGAGATTATATCTTTTTTATAATATATCTTCTTGATCTCCTTTAAAAGGGTTGAAGCCATACATAGTACACCTTTTTTTTTTTGTTATTCCGGGGGAATCTGCTTACAGATACCCCGGCCCCGCGGGGGCAGAGCCGGGGTTATGTGGGACTGGGCTGAACCCTGATGGGGAGCAGCCCGACCGCACTAAACCCCCGGAGTGTTCCTCCTCTCCGCTGTAGGTGGGGGTACGGGTACGCTGTTGCACTCGTCCGCGCCCCCACCAGCGGCTGGCCGCGCCCTGCGCAGCCCCTCCTCGAGAAGGGAGACACATCGGTCCCCCGACTCCGAATGTGAGGCTCGCCGAACACCAGACGAGCCTTCCATCCCGGGCCCCTTTATGCTGGGCAACGAACTCCCCCGAGTCCGCTACCCAGGGGCCATGGGGGGCCAGGACAGCATCCACTCAACTGTGAAGTTCAGTGAGTTCAGCGGGAACCCCTTCGGGGGGGTATACATAGTACACCTGGACTAACTGCACCAAGTGATCAATTTACCTTTAGGCCAGCAGAGAGTTGGTTGGTTTTACATGTAAGCTTAATATTCAGCTTATTAGATACTGAGTACAATCGAAGAGCTACTGCGCTTTACACTTTGGAATTTGTACCTTCTTATCATAAGTCGCATACACTTATATCTTAAATCTACAAAGTCGACTAGTATATGGACAATTTTGTGTATGTAGACCCATCCAAATGTAGGACTTTTCATATTGTAATGCTTGGTTTGGCAATCATAATTAAATTGCTTTTATAGAAAATATTAAAAAGTGGTGGTCGTTAATGCACTTTTTCATACGATTGAACCGATTTTGAAAACATTTATGCCACTACTCCCTGATAACCTCTGAAACATATTTTTCATACTCTTCGACAGCCTCTTCAGGTGATTATAATCGTTGACCGCCTAACTGATTCTTAATTTTTGGAAATAAATAAAAGTCACAAGGGCTAGGTCGGGACTGTACGCGGGATGGCTCATAACGTTAACGTTGTTCACCTTCTAAAATTCATTTTTCTGTCTGGCCGTGTGAGAACTGGCATTATCGTGGTGCAAGATGATACGGCGTTTACGGTTATTTTTACGGAGTTACAACGATTCTCCAAAGCAACAGTAGTCACGTGTCCAGTTTTATTAAAAAAAGAAGCAATCATCCGCTTAGAGGAACTTTGCACGCGCGCCACTTTGGGTGAAAAAAAAAAAAATAAATTTAAAACTGTTTATTTTAAAAAAATATGGCTTATACAATTACAGTGACTAAAGTTAAAAATCTTTACTTCTAAGATTGTGATACTTTAGTGTTACCCATCTCAAGCGACACAATATACAATTAACATTTCCACTTTTTTATTACACAATTTTGCCAATTTAATGTTATAATGTTACAATTACTACGTACTAAATTTTGTGCATACATCATCTTCGGTTTTGTATTGATCGAAGGTAAAAAATCGTTTTATTAATTTGTTAGTTTGTTTTTTGTTTCTAATTTTTTGTACAATACTTTCCGGTAACATATTCAATACTTTGGGTAGGATGTAAGTCCAAATTCTTTTACCATACACATTGTTGTATTTCGGAACTCTGAATGGTTTAACTTTACATAACATTCGTAGTCCCGAAGCCCTCTTTTTCTTTTCTAATAATTTAATCTTGTCTTGGTTTTCTGATATAATTGCTAACTTAATTTTATCATATACATTAAGCACTTTACAGTATTGGAACAGTTTTTCATAGTTGTCTTTATGTTTATACTTAACTTTTAATGGTACTATGTTCTTGAGCAGTCTTATTTGTATATCGAAAATTTTCTTTAAGTACGTTTTATATGTCCTGCCATAGCTAGACAGACCATAGCTTATTATTGAATCAGCCATTGACAAATACAATAATCTTAATGTGTTATATGGCATCTTGTATTTAAGAATACTTAACTTTGAAAGGATCGCTCTTAGTTTATTACACACGTTTTCCACTTGTGGACCCCAGTGAAATTTATGGTCGATTTTTAATCCAAGGTAAAAATGTTCTTTAACCATGTCAAGGCACTCACAATCACAGGGTGTGTTCTGGTTATGCATACAGTGATGTCCGTGGGCCACGATTCTGGGGGTTACGCCGACTTTTAAGTATGGTGAGTGGATATGCATTAATTTTGTTTTTGTGTAATTAATTGACAAGCCCATATCGTGCGCCCACTTACATAACACATCAAATTCTTGCTGCATCATATTTTGTGCAACTTCTATATTTTTATGCGCTGTAAGTATACACGTATCGTCCGCAAATTGGTATACAGAGCCCTGCTGGAATATTTTGCACATGTCATTTACATACAACAGATATTCAGTCGGACCCAAAATTGAGCCTTGAGCGCAGCCATTTGTGGTGGTTTCGGCTCATCTCGAAAGACCCATACGCTCAATTGCTGCTTTGTTTTGGGATCCTAACTATAAATCCACGTTCGTCACCTGTTACTATGTCCCACACCAAATTTTACGCGCCTTCGTTGAATCTGGTAAGCATGGCATTGCACCAAATGATGCGATCCGTTTTTTGAGCCTCAGTCAAATTGTGTGAGATCCACCGAGAGCACAGCTTTTTCACACCCAAATGTTTGTGTAGTATTGATTGTATTTGACTCATGTCTATGCCTAAAGATACCCGAATTTCGTGGTATGTCACATGCCTGTCTATTTTGATTATACGGCGCACCGCATCGATGTTTTTGTTGTTCACAGCAGTGGACGGGCGATCATCTCGAAATTCGTCACTGAGATTCACCTGACTGCGTTTGAATTCTGCAAACCAGCTATAAATAGTCGTCTTGCATGGTGCTTCATCGCCAAAAGCAGCTTGAAGCCGAGCGAAGCTCCGCTGTTAAATTGCGCTTAAAGTCATAGAAAAATCATACTACGACAATTTTCACGAGTTAAAATCCATAGTGATGTAGGCAACCAATTTCTAAAATGACGCCACAATGTAAAAACAAGTGACAGTCAGATGAAACAAAACTGTATTCTACAGCCACAGAGTTCCATTTTCAAATGTTGTAATTACTTTTTAACCCTTATTATTATATTGTTTATGTAAGTGGCCAGTTCCAGAAACTTACAGTGCTCCCTATGTATAAGCTAAAATTATAATTTGTGTTGTTGCAGAGAAATCAGTACAGAGCGAGGAGAGTGGTCGGCGTGGGGCGGCAAGGACAGCGGCCGGCTGCCGTCGAGGGTGCATGACGCTTCACACACCGAGAGATACTGCTCGCAGGTATCAGTCCATTACGCCTACAGGATAAAACTAAATGTTAAAGGAGTGTTTTCCGTTCGGGTAGGGAGTGGTATTCTATTGCCCTATAGCTTTCCATAGTGAGCTTACAGATGTACTCGATGGCTTCTAGACAAGCGTAAGCATTCGATAAATTAAAAAATAAACCAGTAACGAGTTATAGTAATTAATGGATAATGACAAGTTTCGAACTAGTCCGTGGTCCTTAATCATGAGTTTTTATGTTTGTCATAATGTCAACATGTAGACGTGAGGTCTTCGGACCAGTTCTATCATTGAATTATACCATGAATGGCATAAGTGGTACTAACCTGTCCCATTTATACCTGTAATGGTATAGGTGGCACTAGTTTATCCCAGTTATACCATTGGATAATAAATAATGGTACAAATGGTGCTTGCCTGTCCCGTTTATGCCTGTAATGGTGAAGGTGGCACTAGTTTATCCCAGTTATACCATTGGATAATAAATAATGGTATAAATGGTACTTACCTCTCCTATTTATACCTGTAATGGTGTAAGTGGAACAGGTTGATTCCATTTATACCATTAAATTATATCAGTGTTAAATTATATCAGTATTTTTAATTTGAGCATATTTATTGAAGTAAAACTACTTTAATATAAAACATAATAAACAAGTGGGGCAATAACCGACTTCAAAACTTGGATTAAACCGTATATATATTTAAATAGATACCGCAAGTACCGCGATCTGTATTACAAACCAATTGTGCCACATTTTAGTTTAGCTAATATGTCTGAATCTGACGGTAGTTTTCTATTTAACAATAACGAACTGTCTATGGTGTTATTTTTGATAAATACAACACCAGCCGTCTTCCACCTACACTGTTAGTATAGAATAAGTAAAAGTACAACATATTACAACACCATTCAAGTAAACTATATTTGATCACCTGCACCTGACTGTTCAGTTCGTCTTCGTTGTAAAGCTAAGGACAAATGTGACGAAAAAAGCGACTAAAATAAAACGCGTGTTCGCTATATTTGCCTCTTGCCTTAGACTGTAACAGTAGTGTAAAGATGCGTGGCGGTTCTGTTGCAGAACATCAAAATTTTGCAGTAATAGGCACCGCAAGCTGCTGCCGCTGCGGCAGACGTGACTGGCGCGCGCCGCGGGAGCGACCGCCCCGCCGCATCGCCGCATGCCCGCCCCCACAGCCCCGTGCACCCTGCCACGCCCCACAGCGCCACACGCCCATATGCTGCCCAAGGCATAGACTAAAACTTAACCTGGTAAGAATCATGTTAAGACATCACTGCTGAGGAACTTCAATATGATGACGGCAACTTATCGCCAACTATATGAACTAGTCAGGAGAGTCTCAGGCAACATTGATAGCATTAGTAGATTTAGCACTGGTTTTCATGATGTTGCCATCTTTTGAGCTTCGGGTTCGATCCCCGGCTGGGTCAACGTAGCAAAATTAACTTTTTTTTATAATAAGTGACGGGACGAACAAGTCTTGGGCCTGATGGTAAGCTGAAACCGGAACATAGTATTGTTGTCATTACTGCTTGGCGGCAGAAATAGGTAAGGTGGCAGTACCACCCTGGACGAACTCTTTCACAAGGAACTCTACTGCTACTAAGTTACTATAGGATTGTACAGTTTTATTCCAAGGAGAAGAATTGCTATTGTCATTATCTTCAATTTTTCCCCATTCCAGATCCATCGTCAAAAGCAAAAACATCTCCGAGATAGTTTAGTTAGAATTTAATTTGAGTAGCGAATCAATCTACAAAGATGGGGTCCGTGAACGTGAACCGTAATGTGGCGGATGCGTTCTACCGGTACAAAATGCCGCGCATCTGCGCCAAGGTGGAGGGAAAAGGCAATGGAATCAAGACCGTCATCGTTAATATGCCCGAGGTGGCTAAGGCACTTGGCCGTCCTGCTACTTGTAAGTATTGGACTCTGGAATGGAAGCGTTTTTGTAACGAAATTGTACATGCAGTAATAAATTTTGTGTCAATTGTGGAACGTGCAAACAAACAACATGTGGCAGCTGCGAGAATATAATAATAATAAAGCGACATCTCTAGTCAGTCTGGTAGCTATAAAGGGATCTGGCTGAGTGAAGAATAGATTTTTGCACAGATGGCGCTACGGCAAAAAAATCGTTAAAAACCAAAAACAAAGATCTGCAACAAGCATATAGTAAAATTCGTAAGGGTGGTTGGTTCGTTCCGTGGCTTCTAGCACGATTTGCTGAAAGAACGAACCAGCGTCGCATCCAGCCGGATCGAAGGAATTTAAGCTTTGTATTAGTAACTATAACACTCCATTAGTGCTTTTTATTAATTTTACAAAAATAATTGGATATCATGGTGAAATATTGTGGTTATAAAAAATAATAAAAACTTAAATAATAAAATCTTTTATTTATCGTAAATGAAACAATTTGTTCGGGTCTAAATCGCGTATATTTGTTATTTTCATACTAACCAACGCTTCGGGCCCTTTACAGGGGTGTTTACTCACGCTCTCCGTCTGACATCCGTCCGAAACAATTACTGTCCAAAATTACCGAGAAAAGGAACGTATATTATTATTAAATTAAAAAACGCGTGATGCGAATGAAGTTTTGTATTTGTTTTTTGATTTGGTCGAGTATTACTTATTTGACAGTAGTTGTTTCTGACGCTTGCCGAATGGAGTACGGGAGTAGATTCCCAAATCCCAAGGTCACGACTGAATCGTTTATTTATATACAATAATAAATAATTAAAAATATGAGCTACTTTATACATAAAGTTCAGTAACAGACAATAGTGGTGTGAGATAAAAAGGTCTGTAGCTCAGTACAATGGTAGAGTGTTTCTCAGTGCCGATGATATTCTGCTACTCAGCCTGCCATGTTCAAAAAAGAAGAACTAACGTAACACACATATCAGTCCAGTTCTTATCCAAGATTCCGCGAGGATCTTCTGGAAGTCGCCGCGACCTATTTTTTGACTTTTGTCTGTTTGTACGTTACACAATTGACAAAGTTACTACGGTTACTAAAGTTCCATGGCAATGTAAATTGATCCTTATCGTCATACACTGTATTCACATAATTCGCGTAAGAATAAACTCAGCACGTGTATAAATTCGGCAATTGCTGAGTTTATTCGGTATCAATTACTTACAGCATTTTTAGGGATACAACAAGTTTAGACAGACTACCACTGTATTCTAAGATGGCTGATTTTATACTCTGTCTTGGAATTAAAATGGAAACAAAGGTGACGCCATTACAAAAAAAAATCTGAAATGTGAAAAGGTCTAAAAAGATAATTCAAGATGTTTTATCGACACCAGAAGTATCAATTAATGTAAGGAACAAACCGCGGTTTTTCAGGAGATCCAAAAAACGATTTTATTTTTATAAATCTATAACTTTTTACAGTCTGCTCCAATTTTGATTGTGTCTAGAGTAAAGTTTCTTAAATATTTTCTTCTTTCATGCTATAAACGAAAGATTTAGGAATGCCCTGTGGTTTAAAATATAGCATGTCCCTTACATTAAAAAACATAAAAAAAAATTTTATAACATTCTACTTAATGCGATAAACTAAAAAATACTGTACTTATCCTATTGTTAATGTTCCGGGGATGCAGAAACTTTAGCTGTCCTGTTTGTCCGGTTTTTTATTTTTATTTTATAATAAAAATACCAATTAATAGCTGAAACATTATTAAAAACATTTTTTACTATAATACAACTTTTTACTTGTATACTTTATAAAAAATAATAATTTATATGAATATAAAAGTAATTGATTCATTATTAAATAGACACAAAATTATTCTAAAAAGTAATTTAACCCAAAAGGGTATTTTTCCATTATAACTATTACTCGTAATGTGAAAAGTATAATCTGTTACCGAAAAAAGATTTATGATCTATGATGTGTCACTTTGATAGTGACAGATGTATGTTTATATTTTACATTTTCGGACTCTAACTCGTACATTCGAAATTAAGGGAACAGTAATGACGAGAGTATTGCGGTACTCTTTAACATGTGGTCAATGTATCTCCAAAATAATTCTTAACGAGATCCACTGCCAAGAAGCTAATTCTGATTGTGGATGATATTCCAGATCCAACCAAGTACTTCGGGTGCGAACTGGGTGCGCAGACTCAGTTCGACTACAAGAACGAGCGCTTCATCGTCAATGGCAGCCACGACTCGGCCAAACTTCAAGACCTGCTGGACGGGTAAAATTGACTTTACACTATTCTCAGAAAATTGTTTGACAGCCTGAAAGCCAGCAAATTAAAGTAAAAGTAAACAATGTCATCCGCATGATAGTTAAATTCTTGACTCATTTGTGTATGCCCATTGTTATTATAATAACTTTTTTAAATAGTTTCTTGCAATAAGGTGTTGATTGACACAATAGATTGCTCAAAGACGCCTGTCTTTAAAAATTCCAATTTTTCTTTGTTGACGACCCGTGTCGTGCCATTCTTCGCTCTATCGTTCTTTTGGCCATTGGTTTTCGAAATTATATTTCCATTTTTATATGTGACTGTACGCTTCAAAATAAAACGTTAAAAAATTTAATGTGATTCATGTGACCGAAAGTATCGTTTAATTTTAACATCCTCAGCTGCCTTCTACGAAAAGACCAGGCGACCTTTATTTCGTTTTGATGCTTTTAAAAGACCGCGTTGGGTGCTTCCAAGTCTAAGTTCAAATTACACATTTGAAATGTGGAAGTCTGCTACTCGTTACAGACCCTCTCTGATTTGTTCTGCAGGTTCATCCGCAAGTTCGTGCTATGCCCGGAGTGCGACAATCCCGAAACGGAGTTGATCGTGTCGACGAAGCGCAACACCATCTCGCAGGGCTGCAAGGCTTGCGGCTACCACGGCCAGCTCGACTTTAACCACAAGCTCAACACCTTCATCCTCAAGAACCCGCCTTCGGCCGATCCCAGCATGCAGGCAGGTGTACCATACATGAGACTGTATGGTTAACATGTGTTTTATAATAACTAAATCACATTAACTGCCTCCGTGTCTCAATATTTAACCATGCTGGACTGCCACGCAGAGGTCCCGGGTTCTATTCCCGGACCAGGAGAAATATTTGTACGGTCTACTTTATTTCTCTCGTGAGTTTAGGAGTAATTTGGGGTTGTCTTTGTGTGTTACCATGGCACCCGACATACAGGGTTTCCCTAGTGCAGAGCTATGAGTATATGCGCTATTATATTATTATCGTATTATATACATATACGAGAAGGACACATCATATCACAAAAAAAAAATTATTGAGAACTGTGTTCCTACAGTTCGATGACTTTAAAGTAGCGGCCCATCTCAAAAACACTTAATTTGAAATTGGTTGATCGAAACGGCTGGGCCGTACCTGGGGGTCTACTCTCGATCTCCGTTCGACATCCGTCCGAAACAATTACTGCCAAATAAGCAATACTTGACCAAATGAAAAGACGCGTGATGCGAATGAAGCTTCGTACTTGACACTTGTCTTTTAATTTTGTCGAACATTACTCATTTGACAGTAATTGTTTCGGACGGAGATCGAGAGTAGACCCCCTGATGCGCAAAGCGTACGAATCTTGTCCAATGTTGCCACTAATATAGTGTTAACCTTTGGAAAACTTCACAATACAAAACATCATAATGACTTGATTAATGAGTCACAAATTACTTACAACATTTATTTTTTGTGAAATTTCTCCACTAGTTTGCTATATTATTAACACAAAGATCGAACACAAAGAAACATTCCTGTGATTGGACAGGACTGTACCTCTTCGCCATACCGACACGGCCGGTCGCCCTGGTAAGGCACAGACTCTGTTACGATCGAAGGAATTTTTTTTTGTATTAATATTTATGACAAGACATCTTGATCATAATGAAATTTAGCTCATGTTGAATACACCTGTGCAATAGGCAAAAATATACTGTTTTGGTAGTTGCTCCTCTACAAATAAACGTGTTTACAGGGGTCGTCGCTGACGGAAGGTAACCGCGGTAAGAGATCCAAGCGCTCCGGCCCCACTTCTGCCAATGGCAACCATGATGGCCATGACAACGATGCCAAGAATGTGAGTGATTGTTGACGGGCTTAAAAATGTAATTTATATTCTTTAAAAACTGTTAAAGTTTTTAAAATTAATAGTTTTTTAAATATTTTAAATTGTTTTTTTGCTAAAGACGGGATTTTGCGTCTTATGTCATATAGTGACAAAGATGCGCAGACTTAGAAGTAAAAGTGAGAATCGGGCTCATAAAATGAAATCTTTGCAAATACATTTCTATAGTAGCTTTGTTTTTTTTTTTTTTTTTTGTTAAATACGGTTAAAATAATAACCTGTGGCGAATAGGACAATATCCCGCACTATAACATTTTGCGATAATCGGAAGCTTGTGGCGATCTACAAATAATTGTTTGGTATGTGCAGGAGAGCGACGCGCCCATCACGCCTATCACGCCCACCGCACCTAACCCCAAGAGCAGCAAGAGCGGCAAGAAGCACGCGGACGACGATGACGACGACGGCACCTGGACCGTCGACGTCTCCGAGGCCGCGGTGCGCGCGCGCATGCAAGGTACTTTTTTACTCCCATTTGTACTCCCATCATCATATTATTATGCCAGTAATGGCAATATTTTCTTGTCTTTGATTTTAAAAATTATTGCGTGCCACTTAACATTCCTGTTAATATAAATAATAAGATGAGTATGATTTGTAGAGTGGTAAAATTCCTTATAAATTTATTTTAGATCTAACGGAAGGCGCCAAGAGCATGACGGTGTCGGAGGACAACGAGAAGAACGAGAAGCAGCGCATGGACTTGTTCTACGCGTACCTGAAACAGCGCTCCGCCGCCTCTGACGTCGACGGCGCCAAGGCAGCTACTGACATTCTGCACGAAGCCGAACGGTCAGCATTATTCGATGTCACATTAAGTGTGGACTTTCCCGATTTTCTCAGCTAAGACATGGCACCTAACATTGCAGACTGGAAGTGAAGTCCAAAGCGCCCCTAGTGATCTTCGAGGTGCTGGTGCGGCCGAACTCGCTGGCGGGAGACGTGAAGAAGCACCGCGCGCTGCTGCTGCGCTTCACCCGCGGCGACGCGCGTGCGCAACGGGCCGCGCTGCACGCGCTCACGGCGCTCTGCGCGCACCACGCGCAGCTGCTGCCCAAGGTGCCCGCCATCCTCAAGGTGCGCACCCCACCTTCCCTGCCCCCGCACTCGCCCTTCGACCGTTCTCACCGCCCCGACTCTGCCTTGCAGCTGCTGTACGACATGGACATCGTCGAGGAGAAGGCCATCATGGAGTGGGCGTCGAAGCCTTCCAAGAAGTACGCCAGCAAGGAAGTCACTGCCGAGGTGCGCAAGCGCGCGCAGCCCTTCCTCGATTGGCTGCAGGAGGCGGAAGAGGACTCGTCAGACGCTGATGGCAACGACAGCGGGGAGGATATCGAAGTGAGTGGATTGTTGCTTTTTAATCGACTTCAAGAAAAGGAGGAGGTTCTCGATTCGGTTGTATTTTTTTTTTTACATGTTACGCGATAACTAACTAACTAAATAAAAATGTAATTCCACCAACTTGTCTGTTTTTTTTGTATTCTACTGAGATTATTGTTAATAATTTATTATGAACATTTATTTCCAAAAGGGCTGGAATCATTAATACCTTGCAATATGTGGTTTCATACTGTCCTAACGAGCATAATTATCATATTTATTATGATCAAAAAGAAAAACCGAGTAAAGGAATTAATTGTCTTTTCCCGTACGATATTTATTTAATCCGCAATTTTATTCTCAGATCGAGTACGACGATCGCGCCAAGGCGACTCCGATGAAAGCCGCAGTGGCAGCGCCAGCCAAGCCCGCGCCGCGCGACGAGGACGACGCCGACGATGTGGACATCGACGCCATCTAATTGCCATGGCAATATCATATTATACATGTTGCTACTTGATTATACTCCATTCTGAATCAATTGAAATTAATGTTACCAATTTGCCTTTTGACATTTTTCCTACCCAGCATTCAGTGTTACTTTGTCAACCCATAAACATTGCAGCCGAGATGCGAGTCTAACCCGTGTAGGGGTGTCTTTCTGTCGCTGTCACAGTCCAACCGGACCACCACCAGTTACATTACATTTTAAGAAATCTCAATTTGCCGTGTTTTCTCAAAAACTTAACTACAGTAGATTCGTCATATTGGTAGATACGTGACCGTAACTTTAATTATAAAATGTAAAAATCAAAATGGAGTGCAATTAAGTAGGAATATAATCCGTCAAAAATTATCAAAAGATATAACCTATTTCAGCCTATTTTATTCACCATAATATCGCTAGGAACATATTTATTAGACTAGACTCCAATTGTATAACAATTTCATTTATTTATTATTAATCTTTGGGAGAGTTGTATAAATGATAGACAAGGGCTGGACCTCTGTTTATTTTACTGATAATTTACATGCAAGTATTTACAAAACGGTATAGTAAAACTAAAAGCGTTTGCATTTGTCAATTTAAGATATAACAATATATTAGCATGCTGAATTCAGACCAAACATAAGTGGCACCTCACACCAAATATATACTCTTGAAATGCACATTTCCTTAGCGTCTCACAAATACGTGAAAACGTGTTAGGATTTCTAGACTGCTACTACATATAAAGTGCATACCGTACGTCGAATGTACATTATGGTGCACAACATTTGAATGGCGGTTATAAAGTGTAAGAACTTCTACACTTAACGGAACTTTTACACAGTTATAAAGTGTAAGAACTTCTACACTGGTACAACATTTGCCAGACGCAAAGTATTCCACTTTTACGAAATGCCAATAATTGGCCGCACCCTGCACTGAAATTACATTGTGGTGCACAACAGTTCTGTGTAAGGGTTTCCACAATGCTACGTTTGCCAGACGCAACATAACTACATAATGTTCCACAGGAGCTGAATTCTATGCCTCATTTTTGTTCCTGGCAAGGTTTAAATAGTGTACAACCTCGTACTACTGTCAACGTTATATTTGTGTGACGCTTGAATATGTTGTCTATTAACACATTCGTATTTAGATAAAGTCATACAATAAATACTTCATAAATAAATCTCGTGTAATGTCGTAAATGCACTGCATTTGTCCGCTTGTGTGCTTACTAAATGACCATTCCCTGCTGAGGGAAGGTTACGTTTAAAGTTTGAAAAGTTTTATTATACCGATTTGTATGACCTCGTTATTTCCCACAGCTAAATGCTAGCATATACTAATACTCAAGATTCTATTAATTGGGAACGTGCATTCACCTACACCAATTCATGGCCTCTGGACCATAGTCTCCAAACACGGGAGGATAATTCGCTAGGTTCTTGCATGTTCTTTTTGCTAGCGGTCTGCCGGTATTCTCGCTGTGTAGGTTATATCCTATATATTCCACTATACCTTTCTCTTTCGCACTTCGCTTCAACGTTAGCAGAGTAGCTACATATTGTATTCATCACGTTCCTAAAAATTTTGATACGTTTTTTATTCGTATAATTTTATCTTCATTATTATTATTCATATTTGGGCAGTTTTGAAACACCTTGATGTGGGCTATCTTTTTGTTTAAGTTCACTGATTGATTATAAATTCTTTCTAAAGTCGTAAACTTTTTCCATCTCCAAGATCAAGTTTAATGGGGGTGACTGTTTAGGAGGAAAAAGTCCTGCTACTTTCCCAAGATCTGAAATTAATTTATAACGAAACTGGGAAGTCTGAAACCTCCACTAATGTTTCGTATTGGTGTATATAAACTAACATACAACCACACCTTTTTCTCAAGGACGCCGCGTGCGTCTCTATTTACTGCAGTTCTTGAATATTACTAATATTTTCCCATTTGAAAATATACGCTGTTACGCATAGCGTATATCCGAATTTCATCAACTTGTTAATCAATCAGTGAGTTAACAATTCGATAATCTGTGGATCTCAACTAGGCCTTGTCACAAACGGCGGCGACAGCAATAACATTCTGTGCTATAAAGAAACCATAGCAATATTTGCATTTGTATGAAATGTTTAAAAATGAAACGTAATTGGTTTAGTATATAAAAAAGTTGTAAATCGGCGATTTTTTCGTCTTATAATGCTGAGTACATGTGTTATTCAAAAACCTTTTATAGTTCAAATAGAACAACTTTCCACGAGTCGTCTCAAATTTCATCTTTTGTAAGAGAAAACATGTCTCAAGATTGCGAAGGATTTAGACGTTTCATGATTCACGTAGCGTTTGTGACTCTAAAATAATGTCGTCATAGTTTCCAAAGCTCTACAGTCTAGACGCTGAAAACTTCCTTATGTAATGTTCTATAACGTAGCGTAGCTATATTGAAACATATTATATAGTGTTTGTCTCAGTCTTACATAGTAGTAAATGCCAATATAGAACGGGACAGTCATATTAACAAAGTTTCAATAATATTTTGTCAAGTAATTTTTAAGCTACATACTACTCAGCATTATAGATGAGTTTTTATATATGTGTATCTAATTTAGGTTAGTTTATTTGGAGCCCCAGCGCTGTGTAATATATAAGCGATTATATAAAGTGTAACTTAGTGGCGCGAACGATCGGCATCGGGCAAATTTCCTCTATTTACTACTATTAATATATAGAATATTTTGAAATTGCCACCTGACAATTTTATTAGATTTGTTTTGTATTCAATACATTTGGATTCTGATTAATTGTTTTTTATTGATACCCAATCTCCTTCGATATTTCCTTCTATAATGTTATAGCATAATCTTATTCTGGCATTGACTTTAATGTATTCTGGTCATTAAATTGGATTTTTTCCATCTAAGATTTTTTGTCACTTTTCTAAAAATTTGTGCCATTGATACGAGATTTAACTCTAGATTTACTTTTCCTCCAAACATTTATTTCAAAACTAAATAAACGATAACTTCGGCTAGATATCTCTAAATTAAATTTCGTTAATGCATTGAGGCTCAATTTACTTTGCCGCGGAACGGAAGCGTCAATTTCGCATTACTGCGCGAGAAGGCGCGCGCGATTTCTGCAATGCTCTACAATTCGCGGGAAAGCTCGAGCTTTCTTGCGACTGCGCCTTTGAGGCTGTATTATTTCATCGACGATGGACGTCACGCTGCCCCTGTCTTCGCGTCACTTCGCGCGGATACGCCAGGTGTCGCCCAGGAACTTCCCGTGAATAAGCGAGTATTCCCGAGCATGCGCGAGAATTCACCGGAAGACGCGCGACTTGTTTTTTGGCTCGTACCTATCTAGTTTGTACGTTACACAATTGACTTAATGTTCATTTTGCTATGTACAATTTCGTTACAAAAATTCGCTTCCATTCCGTTCCGCCGCAATTTAAATTGCGAGTCGAATGAATTGTGAAAAATAGATACACGAGTCAAAAAACAGGTTGTGCGTCTTCCGGAGAATTCGAGCGCATTCTTCATATCTATAATAGCTGTTAAAGGTACTTTGTGTTCATTTTCTTATTTGCACCCAAATTTGTTGATATTTGTTCGCCATCTAAATGCATAAAAACTACATTTAATTGGTGCATCGTCAACCCATATATACGTCCGTGTCCCACTGCTGAGCACGGCCTCTACCTCTGGTCCAATGCGGGTTGGCGGCTTCCTCAGTTTTCCGAGAGATGTGAACCTTCTTCAATGTAACGATATTTCCTCTACCGAAAACCTCATGGTAAATTTCAAATTAAATTTCGCACGCAAATTCTGAGTCTCAGAGGTGCGACACCGGATGCGAACCCACCCATTGAGTGGTACGCCCAGATTAAAATTTTAAATACCAAACCATGATGTCGCTAAAACGAGCCATCCCTTATGTATCCCAAACTATTTTAGAATTCCAAAAGAAAGAATGAACTGAATGTTTTAGAAAATCTTTATTTAATACAACAATTATAAGTTTTAGAAGTTATAAAACTGAAACTGTACACGAGATCTTATCATATTCGTATATATTTTAACATATATAATTTACATAATTTTACAGATTCATTTATTAAGCACCGATAACTTAAATCTAATTAAATGCGCGGTTATTATGAGTCGTGCGTATTTTCCTCTTTAACGTACAATATTGTGACTTAAAAGAACATTGCACTCGATTTTCCTCTTAATGCTAATTATGCACCATCAATAATAAAGTAATGAGAATACAACCAAACTGATCTTTAAAAAAATTAATGTACGTGGCATCAGCCATGCTTCCTTCTTGTCATAACTATATTTGCATTTAGATAACTATTGAGATATCTGCCGTTCACTAACTAAAATTCGGTTAAGTGACAAAAGATCAAATAACCTTTGTATATAGCTGTGGGGACCGTCCGATCGACGTTTTTATAATATATAGTATCAAAATGTTATTCTAAATTTCTTATCAAAATTTTTTATTTATACATGTTTTAAATGGAAATGCAATTTTTCTTTCTTAATTTCATGGGCTTAGGACCGGCAAAAGACTGAAAATAAATAGTAGGTATTTTGTCAAAGAAAGGAAAAAACTTCAAAGCTAGTAGGTACCTACTGATATTTGCATTCAGGCATATTTAAAAATTTGAAATCAATTTAAGATACCATAAAATCAATAGTTCACTTACCTATTCTGCCGTTCACTAACTAAAACGCGGCCAAGCGGATTCGGTCTGTAGACACCTTAATGATAACAAACAAATCAACTATATAGATGGCGCTTATTGCACAGATTTTTATGTTGAGTATTTTTATTATTTCGTTTAGTATTAGCGCCATCTAACCGTATTTGAAAGCGTTAACACACAATGCCATCTATTGACACTTATATTTGTCAAAGTTGAGAAATAATATTATTACAAGGAGGAAAAGGAAGTTATAGATATGTTATAGATCTATGCTGAAACTAAATAAGATATATAAAAACCGCTTAGAGGGGGTTGTAGAACTCCTTTCACCTGTCCTAGTTATGTTAATAACTCAATTTCGCTAAAAATGTTGATTACGTTAGTTATGATAAAGAGGGCAGCAATAGCGCATTTTACACAGTCACTATCGCGCGTGCCTCTATCTGGAAAGCCTGCACGCGCAGTAGTGCACGAACCTGTGCGTTACCTGTTTGAATTTTTTTAAGCTAACGTTCTTTCACGAGCGATTGGTCGTGTGCGTTTTTGTTACAACAGAAAGAGCGTCTGTGTAAAGGTTAATCGCGCAGGATAGACCGCGAGAAACTGGCGCGTGTGGCAGTGCGCGACTGATGAGCGTAATCGCGCAGTCTTTCCCTTTTACTTGCAATGTCTTTACACGCGCGCTCAATCACGCAAGATTGCTGTATCACGTGCGATAGAGCGTCTGTGTAAAGCCCACTATTGCCTGCACATTCTGTTAGCCTGGTGTCAAAATTCCATTTGATATGAAAGACGATAATTTTATTACGTACACATTCGTTTCCCATAAATTTTACACTCAGAGTTAAGTCAGAGAATGCGATGTTATAAGTTTAACTTGCACGATGGAAAAATACACAACTTTTGGCGATTTACGTAAATCACTCTTACTAGAGAAACTCTTAAATCTTAAAACTTCAAATAAACAACATAGTACAAGACATACAAAATAAATACAAAATGTAAAGGGGATCATCTGCTGACAAGTGGAAGATCAAGTCAACAACAATTTTATCTTTACATGTTGAGCAAGCGTATTGCGTTTCTTAAAGAAAATGCCTTTTTAAGGTTGAGCCCCACTTGCTTGCTTCAGCTTGATAGGCGCTGATGAAAATTATAAAACAAGCATTTATTGTGGACGTGGTGCTGAAGCGTGCTGATGAGTGGGGGTCCAACCCTTATAAGTAATAAGCGTTCTTAGTGTTCATTGCTATTTGTGATCAGTCTCATGAGGTTCATCGAAATTCCATTAAGTGTTTGATAAGTACGAAAATGTAGCCGTGTCCGTTATATCCATAACGCGTTGTATGTTGAAAGTAACAAATTTCCCAATACTTTATTTGGCAGTACACGTTACCTTTAGCATTTTGACGTTGAGTAGTTGGGCCAAATATGATTCTACCGAAGGAAATAATGATATGAATGACAAATTCATGAGGTAAAGTATGCTGAAACTCGTTCGATGTCGTTTACTTTACCCTCTAGTGTATATTAAGTTCTGAGGTTAGACTGTTTTAACCTCCTAAGAACCAGCAAACTACAGTGAGAAAAGCGCTAAACGCCAAAGAGTTCATCGAAATGTAATAAATATAATTACAGATTCAAGCAAGTATGCCCTGAGTTTTGATGAGAAATGTATTTTTCCAAACTCCCTATGGTCACATAAAATGTACCTAAATTCGAATGCGATACTTTTGTTATAACTGGGCGTTTACGTGATCATAGGAATAATATTTGTTAGGTATGTCTTAATATACTCAGGGCTTTGGCAGGTTAAAACTTAATACCAGGACAAACGGTCAGGAATATGACGGACTAGATACACTCTCTAAGAGCGAAGATTCACGGGCGCTGCAACGCTATGGCTGCTAACAGATTGACTGCATGTTTGCAGTCGTTATCCGAGAACTCGACTGCATGAAGTTGATAACGATTAACGACTTCACACATTAACTTTTTTTTAAAGCCTAGGGAAATGAACCCGGGACCTTTGCGTGGCAGTCCAGCATGGTAACCGTTCGCCCACGGAGGCAGTTAACTGCAGCCGAGATTGCCTCCATGCATAGTTAATGCGTGAAGCCGTTATTCAGCCATGGTCTCGGCTGGATGAAGTCGATACGACTGCATGCATTAACTGCAAACATGCAGTCAATCTTTTAACAGCCTATGATTTCAACGTACTAATTGCTTGCGGTGGCGCAAGGTTTCACGTATCGTGTGGCATCGCTCTAAACAAACTATCCGCTCTGCTGTCCAGCTGTAGCGACCGTATTCGGTGTGGCGACGCTAAAAGAAGTAATGAACACATTGACAATGGTGATAAGAAAAACGCCCAAAACAGTCATGTTGTTGATCTTGTCGGCTTTGCAAATGTCCTTTTCGTCTTTAACGTTATATCTGCTGTTCATTATTAGACCCACGCCCACTCCGATCTGGAAAAGAAGAAAATTATTATAGTATTAGTCATGACAAAAACATCTCTGATACACGCAAATGAACGCTCGCACATGTATTTCATTTCTATTCTTCTTGTGACACAGTTCGTCCAGGGAACTACTGCCACCTTACCTATTTCTGCCTCAAAGTGTAGTGTGAGCATTACTGCGTTCCGGTTTCGAAGGGTGCTGGTGAAATTACAGGCACATTTGACTTGTCAACTTACGTCTCAGGGTGACGAACAAAGTCGCAGTGCCCCTCAGATCTTTGTGATTTAAAGATCTGAGTGGTACCGCTACTGTTATGGACAGGCGTGTCGCTGACCATCAGGCGCACGACTTGTTCGTGCCGTCACTTAGTTATTATTAAAAATGTATATATATTCCCAGAAATATATATTTTTTTATATTTTGGCAGAGTCCAGCTTTTGGCTTTCTAAGATCCTAACGCAAATGAAACCCGAAGATTAATAAATAGTACATACATATCATCGTGCTCGTCTCCTGCCGGGGTAGGCAAAGACTAATCGTACAAGAAGTTTTTTTATAACAAACACCGTTTGGACAGGAATTTGCAAAATTTTTTGTACAAAAACAGGACTGTGAGATACCTCTAGTTTGAAAATAATGTACGTATGTAAAAGTGCATTTAATTAAGAGAATATACAGGTAAGGTAAATGTATTGTAAACTCTATTTTCTTAAGTCCAATGCTTATTGGGATGTACGATACGTACGCTATTAAGGAAAATTGGGTTGTGTGACCCACATTTCATTTTTTTTCTGCAACATTACTTTAATTTTAAAAATAGCGTCCAAATATAAAATATATTATTATATATTAGATAATTTTCAGGTGAATTTTCTCTACCTAATTTCGGTGAATATTTTTATTATTTAAGTATTCAAGTATATTATTTTCAAATATTAAATAATACTTCATGTTAATATTGTAGAATATTTGAATAATAAAGCCACCTGAATTAAGTAGAGAAAAATAACTTAACATTACCCATTTAAAGTAATATAGTAGAAAAAAAATTATGGTTACACCACTTTTGCTCTGATAGCTTCAATTATAATGCCAATAATAATAATTTGACATTATAATTTTCCTCCTCAGCTCACCACTGCAATTAAAATTTACCTTAACGATTTAGATTTCAGGATTATTGTGTTTAGTACAAAGTTCAAACTAATACAAATGCGAAAGTCATTGTGTCTTTCTGTTTAGTTTTCACGCCTAAACCGCTCAACCATTTTTGATTAATTTAAAAGGACGGACTACTTTTTGTCCTAATAAATTTTTTTATGAAAAAAACCGACCTTAAAAGTTCGTGGAATTACATCTATTTGCCAAGTTTTATTGAAATTTTTACCGGAAAGTGCGCGAAACTCGATTCATTCTGGAATAATTTCTTCAAATTTAAATGGGTTCAATATTGAGGTACCCTCTTTCCAAAAAAAAAGAAGCATCAAACTTTTCACAAATTGGTTCACAAAGCCGAAGTTCTCGCGTAACATACATATAAAAAAATACAGTCGAATTGAGAACCTCCCATTTTTCAAAGTCAGTTAAAAATAAATCTTGAAGGTGGTGAAACAGGGGATGAAAGTCTGTATGGATAACAAATAAAACTATAAAAAATTAGTATAGTATAGTAGGCTACCTAATATTAAAATAGATCATATACATATAATAGAAAATAATTATATAGTCATATAATAAGAAAGGTTCTGAAAAAATGCAAATTCCAACATTCATAAACTCAATTTACCTGTAGCAAAATACTAAACGAAATAAAGACAAGACTAGGGTAGTAATAAGGGTGTCTTTCCGAAGACTCGAGGACGTATCTGAGTTGGTTGGCATTGGCTGAGAGCAGTGCGAGGTCCATCATGCCTTGCGCCAAGTTCTTCTTTTGTTGATACGTGTTAACGTCGGGAATTGATGTCTGGTGAAAGAGATGATAAATATTTATTAGAGTTTTCAATCTTTCTGCTGTCACAGGAAATAATTCGAGTCTCGATGCGGTCTCGAGTATTCCGGAAAAGACGAGATTTCCGAGACTATTTCAAAAGCAGGGGCCTTACCATGAACTCTTATTACAGTTCAGTATAGGTTGGTAAAGACGAAAAAGCGGGATGGTGATATACACTTCATGTAGCGCTGTCTCATAACGATTCATTTTCGGTCCTAAACTGAATCGCAATAAGAGTTCATGGTAAGGCCCTAGGTTGCCATTAGGCATTTAGGCAGTCGAAACATGATATTCTCAATTAACTCGTATTATAAAATAAAAATTATTTATGAAAGTTTTTTTTTCAATTTTATAGTGAGCACGTAAGAAATGAACAAAAGGGCGTTTAATATAGTTTCAGACTCACTGATTTTAGATAAAGAGGTACTGGTTTTATTACTATCGTTCCTGAATCTGAACAGGTTATACTAAGCTCCACTCTACGCTGTTGCCAGTCCATGCAACCAAAATAAAAAAATACTGTAGTTTAGTAGATTTCTTAACAGTGTTTAATTAAGTGACCTAAGTCTCAGAAGTCTCGATATACCCGAGACTGAAAGAATCAATTTCGAGTCTCGAAAATGAAAAAAAAAATGCCGAGATATGAAGATTTCGAAACCGCGATTTCCCGGATGAAGACCTTAATATTTATTTTCAAGTACTTTGCTGTGCCAGTAGAAATTCAATTCTGCGTCTCGGCCTAATCTACCTTTGAACTTTTTCACCCCGTCAGCCCTTCGGATGACGTCAAGATCATGATGACATTTTATGAGATTTGCCTCGAGTTATAAAGAGATATTTTGTTATAAACTTCAGTTTCCGGCTGTATATAGAGAAGTTAAATTTCCCCTAAAGGCTCAATTCACATTGTTGAGAAAATGGAAATATTTTTTTTAAATGAAATTGGAAGACGCGCGCTGTTTTTTAGTTCGTATCTATTTTGCACGTTACACAATTGGCATAAAGTTCATTACGCTATGGTTTCATAAATTCGCTTCCTTTTTGAGCCTTTAATTAAATTCAACATTAGTACTTACTCCAGGATACATGGGAGAACCAGGTCTGTCGTCAAACGGCCCTCCAAACCCGTTGATGCCATCTGGAAGTTAAAAAAATTCTAATAAAATGGAAATACTGGAATGTTCTACCACAGAGCAATAAACGCAGTAGAAGTGCCTAGAACATGTGGCACGTGTGCCAACAATAAGCGGATATACATATACTTGAACTCAGTCCGCCATTTTCACTTTGTAAAGGTTAAAATGACCCAAAGTCGTGGGAAAATGCCTTATTCTGCTACTTGGCAGTGCAAAAATGATAGTCGCATCTGTAATGTTATTCATGCTGGTGTTTCGTTTCATCGTTAAGTCCTATTGTAGTTCAGTTTAATCAATTTTCCATTTTCTGTTTATGTTAACAGAGTTTTTGTTAAAAAACGAAAATAATAAAGTAAATTTTTCGGAGGACGTTACTCGTTCGTCGTCCATAGTCTATTGCCGCACCACACTGAATGAAATTTCAATATAAAATCAAAGGGAAACTTGCAATGATAGGTATTAAAGTTTCAACGATATGCCCGGGTTTAAATTATATTAACAGTCCAGAATTTGTTACATCTGTTTAAATTAGAAATTTACGACCAATCATTATCAAGATTTCATAGCATTTGATATAAATGATAGTGTGAGTTTTGGCGACAGCGGCACTTGTATTGATTTTTTTTCTTCCGTGATTCCTATTATGGTTATATACTTTTAACATGCACTTTTTACGAGTATTTTGCTTATTTTCTTTTCATGCACATGCGATTTATTACTAACATTCAATTATAGTACTTTGACATTCTTACCATGATTAGAGATCACGGACAATCGGGATGCTACCAAGAAAAAACAAACACCATGCTTCAATATTATAAACGTGTATACCTACGTAACCCTACAGTTTAATTCAAGAGTAGGTAACGGGAAAGAAATTTACATCCGTGCGAGTTATTTCATGTATATACAAAGAAGGAGACGTAGGCGTAGATTGAAGAGGCTGTCTTAAAAACGATAGCATTGTTAAAATTTTACTTGAATTTTATTTAGGAAATGAAACTGTTTTATCGGGTCTAAATAGCGTATATTTGTTTTTTTAAACGGATGACATCAATAAGCCGTGACCATGGACCCTGTAAAGGACGGAAATGTTTTCTTTGAAAAAAAAGCAAACATACTCGGTTTAGAACCGAAAAAATTATTTCATTTTCAACTCACTAGCTCGGAAAGGCTTTTCTTTCTCATTAGAAATCTGCGCGCAAAAGTGTTTTTCCACACTAGCATGGAAGGTTTTCGAAATTCCAACTTGAAATTCAATCTTGACGATGGACTGGGGTGCACCTCACTTTATATTTCGATGCAAAAAAACGTATTGACACGTTCTACTACGCGATTTGTCGTACATTATTTGTGTAATATAAATCGGTTGGTATATTTTATTCTTATTGTTGACATTAAATTGACAACGATAACTAATATGTTTTGTTTTAATTTTTCTTTCTTCAACTATTTTTCTTTCATCTACCATTTTCCTCGCTATAGTGAGGTGAAAAGTTGTGTGTTTCGCTCGGCAGCAAAGTTATTTTGCATCTCGTGGCTTGAAACACTCGCTACGCTCAGGATTTTATTTTTGAACCGCTCGGGGTTCAATCTTAGAATCCTTTGCTTGCTCAAGTTTCACTTTCGTCACTCGCGTCAAACAACAACTTTGCAGCCTTGCATAACATATAACTATTCCTATGTGTAACAATTGCGAAATTCTAAGAACTTGAATTTTGTTATAATCTTGATTCTCGATTGCATTTGTTTCTAAAGCTTAGCTTTTTCGTTCATTCTTAGAAACATTTAACACAATGTCATGACAGTTCAATCAAGGATCGTAAGATAGCAATTGCAGGTTGCTTATACATAGCTATCTAAAAACTGCTAGAATTCGAAACTGTGTCAATGTTTGGTTAGGTGAGTCTTTCGTTCTGTCCTGTAACACGCCCTTGTGGCGAAAGTGTCCGCACTGTCCTGCGACAAGGTCTTGCTCAACGGGCCCTTAGGCACCCTTAGGCCCGCTACCAAACTTAGCATACGAATTAAGGACCTTCAGCTTGCCTAATCAAATAACGTCCTTCGAAGAAAAGTAGCTTCGTAACCTAAAAAGCTTTCTAGGGTAGGTACCACTAAAAGTAGTTTTCGAGCTGTTTCTTCCACAATATTTTTTAATATCACGAACTTTAATAGCTAGGAATGGAACAGTGTAGGGGTGGCGCGTTCTCGTAAGTCCATATGTCTATCAACTCACATCCTTGGACATATTTTTAAGAGGAACGCTAATAAAGGTTGAATTATGATTCATATGAACCACTGAGCATATAATATTATATCAACACATTTAACTTAAAAAAAAAGAATGACTTCAAAATTGTCTTTCGATTTCGATTAAACTTTCTGATATATGTGACCAGTGGTTCATTTGAACATTGTTATCATAATTCAATCTTTTCTTAACGTTCCACTAAATTTAATTTGAAAAAAGGATGACTTTAATCGCCTTTTGATTTCGATTAAACTGTGTGATATATGTGACCAGTGGTTCATATGAACGTTGTTCTCACCAATTCAACCTTTTCTTAACGTTCCAGCAAATTTAATTTGAAAAAAGAATGACTTCAATCGCCTTTTGATTTCGATTAAACTTTCTGATATATGTGGCCAGTGGTTTATATGAACGTTTTTATCACAATTCAACCTTTTCTTAACGTTCCAGTAAATTTAATTTGAAAAAAGAATGACTTCAATCGCCTTTTGATTTCGATTAAACTTTGTGACGTATGTGGCCAGTGGTTTACATGAACGTTGTTATCATAATTCAACCTTTTCTTAACGTTCCAGTAACTTTAATTTGAAAAAAAAATGTTATCAATTGCCCTTTGATTTTATGTAAACTTTCTGATATATGTGACCAGCGGTTCATATGAACGTTGTTATCAAAATTCCTCCAAATATGTCCATAAGTACAGTAAGATTACTTTCTTAAACGCGTCTTGATGCTAATAGGATTTTGCAACTTTGATCTACATCTATCGCCTTGAAGACAGCCTCGATATGAAAAGTGATGTGTGTAAGATACACGAAGTGCAGCAAGTCACCGTAGGGATAATCAGCCTCGTCCACACCGTCTTTGTGCCACCAATTACCCTCGTTTGTGTGCTCGTCCCCCGTCGGGTGACCATTCTCTGTTGGTTTCTGCCCGGGATCTTCTGTAAAGAAAATAAAACAGTAAGTTTAAAAAACTACAATATGCCTATTTTGTTGTTTGTATAATAATCATAAAAGGGTAATTTTCAGGATACTTTTCTTTACCACACAACGTGAATTCATTTGCGGTAAGAGTACTAACCCAACCCAACATTTGTCGACCTTCATGAAGGATGAGTTTTGGCTGAAGGGTGTCAAGTACCGACGTTTCCGAGGACGGCTACCGGACATCCACGTTGCGTCACATGTCGTAGATAATACGTGTAAATAATAATTAGTCAATAGTGTTGTTATATTATGTATGTGTGGGTCTTTGTAACCTGAATATAAATAAATAAATATATCTAATTTCGGTGGCAATTAACTGTCCTATAATTACCAGAGCAAGGGAATACACTCTGGGTAGTGACCCGGACTGCACTATCCAAAACACCCAGATCAGTACCAATTTAGAAAAATTCGTTTCCCATTTATCAAAAAAGTCGTACGCTATTCCGTTCGCATGATATTGTGTTGTGATTAAAACTTCAAGTATTTCAAGAGTACTATCTATATATACACACAACTAATTAATATTGCCATTGTGGTATTAAACATTTTCACCGTTTTCTTTCTAACTTTTCTAACATTGGTATTTCGCCACAAACTCATCAAATGTAGAGCTATAATGTGACTGGCAGTGGTGTACGCGTTTATTTAAAAAATACCTGTTCCCTCTAATAAGTTTTAATTTAGGCAAGTACACATATTTCTGAGTGGTATGTAGGTTTTTATTTTTATTTTATTTATTTCATATAAACAATACATACAAGAGAACAATACAATTTCTCACCACACTGCGAAAGCGGTTCGTTGGCGAGGTTACACTCACAATTACAAAACTATAGTATACCTAGTATGATTACATTTAACAAAACCAGTGTAGAATTTACTAAATTTACATGCTTTCAAGACTTCTTGAGTTAAATAAGTTTTAATTTTTTCTTGAATGTGAATTTACATAACAATTCTCTGCCGCTAAAAACATCGAAAAAAATCGAAGGCAAGAGTTGTATATTTGTTCTTTTACCATAATAGTTATTTACTGTTGGACATACCTACTTATTTTTACGTATGTATTTATTTTCAGGTATGTAATCATATTGTGTTTTCATGAGTAAATGTATACATTTACTTATAAGTAATACCGGTCCATAGGATCTCCGCCTTTATAGTACACTGAAGAAAAGTGTTCACAAGTCCCATGTGCTTTAATTTCACGGGCACCCTTCAAAACCTATTTATTTATTAACATTAATGTTTCACTACTCGGTACCGGCCTCCTCAACCAACGCTGTGTTAGGCTAATGGTACCATTTAGTTCTTTACATTGGCAAATTTGTAAAATAAGTTCATACAAAAATAATTAATAAGAGTAAATCATTAACGTGTCCAAGTACACGTGCCGTCTGTTGCTTCTACCATAAGTTTGTAGTGTTTTGTACGGCAATAAATTCTTTATTGCAATGACGATAGACTAAGCTAAAGTATATTATGGAAGCCTCGTTGCTAAGTAGTAATTAAAAAAAAAATTGTTTCCTTCAATAGTATTTTATGCAACCGTTGTAAAATGTGGGCTTTAAATTCGAGCAAGCCTCGTGGTCTAATTATAATAGGTACGAGATTTAAGACCTAATTACGTAATGATTGCATACAATACGTTTTTTACGTATAACTAAAATTATATTATATTATATTAAATTATATTAAACACAACCAATATTTAATGTACATTTTGTTAGCAATTTATGACAACAAGCTCAAACGAAAACCAAACAAACGCAAATAGATGTGTTCGATATATTGCTTACTTAGAATTATTATTAGAATTAACCAATATTTTTTTGTTATAAAGGTTACAAACCTTTAGGCCAATTTAACCAATCAGGAGACAGTAGAGCGTTTAAGTAGCGTCATATTAGATGACATTTTAATTAGTAAAAATACGACGTTCTTTTTTTGAAACTCATTGGCGCCCAGTTACACGACGCGAAAGGCCGTTGGCTAGTTACCACGCCTTCATGTACATTTCTGAAGTCTATTTACTAGGCAACAACATTTAAATTGCCCTGAATAATTCAAGCCAAATTCGCCCGCGTGTCCGGGACGCTCATTTAAGTTAAAACGTAAAACTAAACAAATAGAGCGTATTTTGCCATGACAGTCACAAGTACGCGGTCGCCACGCGGCGGCCGTGTGGGGTGAGCGCGAAGAAATTCGTGTGGAATAAATGCGCCTAGTACAGTGTACAGAATTTTAATGAAATTTTGCAGTTCAGTAGCGAGTACCATAGACAATAGAATTTTGATTCAGAACTAAAAAGAGCGCCTTTGCGATATGGTTTAAGAAATTATAATGGACAGACTAGAGCACAGGAGTAGAAAAAAGATCTTACACGTTCGCTGGCGACTATCGACTCTATAAACTTGTGGTAGAGGTTATGCTATGCATAATTGAATACTAAAATGATGACGTAATTGTGTAAAGACAAAGAACATAAGACAAAGTTCACTTTAAACGCCATTTAAAGGAATTATTCTCATGCTTCAAGAATCTATCAAGGTTGTTCATTTGTTTGCATTTTAGAAATAGATTTAAACTAGTTTATTAGGGAATCTTTACACTCGACACAGAATCGCATTATGCTGGCCAGAAAAAGTAATAAAAGTGAATAGTGTTATATATAAAAAAAACCGTTCTCAACATTTTGTTTATACGTTTTACTTTAATTGGATTTACACTTATATATGCGAAGTTTTATTGAAATCAGTTTACGGAAAGTGGGTAAAATTCAATTAATTATCTTTTCATCCCGTAATTTGCCGCCCTAACCCGGGGAATATTTTCTTCAAATTTAAATGGGATCACGTCTGAGATACCCATTTTCAAAAAAAAAAAAAGAATCCTCGAGTAATCGTGTGACATACTCAAAAAATACAGAAGAATTGAGGACCTCGTTTTTTAAAGCCGGTTAAAAAGAGGTACTTCTCGTATCGGCGGTATCCGAACGGAAGAGTAACTCGCAAATATTTTTTCATTTATTTATTTATAATCAGGCTACATAGACCCATAAGTAAATACATACTTTATATACTAATATAGGACATGGGTACGTAATAATATAAGAAAACACACAGAAAACACTAATTATTTACAGGAATGGACTGCGATGTGTGACGCACCACGGCCTCTGAAACGGTACATGGCAGCCTTCGGCCGGAACTCCTTCATGAAGGTCGACAGATGTTGAGTTAGTACTCTCACCACAAATTAATTAAAATTAACGCTTTGAACCCCAACCGCTCGACCCCCAAGGTAACATTGGCTTTTTTTATAATATCACGTGACGGGACGAACAAGCCGTGATTGTAAGCTACACGCCTGTGTATAACAGTTGCAGTGCCACTCAGAGCTTTAAATCGCAAAGATTTGAGGCGCATTGCCACTGCGCTCGTCACCATGAGACATAAGTTGACAAATCCTATGTGGATGTAATTTCACCAGCACCCATCCCCTTCAAAACCGGAATACAGTACTGCTGACATTACTGCTTGGCGGCAGAAATAGGTAATAAGGTACTTCCCTGGACGAACTCATTCATAGCTCTGACCTCATATATACTCTACAATATCCGCATTCATGGAGTGACACGTATAGCATTGTCGTCGGTACCGCTGGACGCAGTAGACGACTAGGGCTAGTCGGTGCGGAGCCGCTAAGGTTACAGCTGGTATACTTCTTTTTCTGTCCCACCTTTTGGAAACAGACCTCGTCGCACTGGTCAACTCTTTTCGGTGGAAGGTCTTTTGAATGGACATAAAGCTTTTTCACCGGTTCAAGCCGTGTTCCTAAGTGTGATGATTCCCTTAAACAGCGCATACGTCCGGTATTACGTGCGTATCGGCTATGACGTCACTCAGGTATCGAAATGTACACAAGAATAATAATACTAAACTTTATAAACGAACTATAATAAGTACATATACTAACTATAATATAATATATTTTTGGAATCAGTAGAGCTCCTTGTGAAACAGTTCGTCCAGGGTAGTACTGCCACCTTACCTATTTCTGCCGCCAAGCAGTAATGTCAGCATTACTGTTTTCCGGTTTTGAAGGGTAATGGTGTACCATGGGTGTACTGTTTACTTTTTATTTTTAGGAATTCTGCTTATTTATAATATTATTATCTTTTACTGTTACAATTTGTAATTAAATAAACGGAGTTGTAAAATGTAACTTTGCAGAAAAACAATGACTTGTTTTATGGTCATTGAGAAAAAAATTACATTTCGGTAACGAAGTGTAATTTTCAACTCAAGGCCCTGGCAGTAACAGCAATAATAACAACAGCATTCAAGGAATTAAATTACATATTAAAACTAAAATTATTTATAATATCACAAACTGAAAATTGATCAAACCATTTTGTTGAATCCTCGAAGAATGTAAGCCACAGTAAAAATATCCACTACGCAAATGAGGTATGATTATGATTAAGCCAAGCGTTTGTTTGTTTTTATTGAGAAAAAAACACTGCATGCAATTTATGTGCAAAAAAATATAATAGGAACATGCTTGCGTCTTCTTCAGCATAACCAGGCACCAAATGTGCTAATTTTAAATCATCACAGTTGTATGTTCATGGTGTCAGTGGCAGGATTATATACGTTTGGTTTCTGCTAAAAGTTAAGAGTGTCGTGCAGTTTTAAGTGTCGTGGCTTGTATATTTAAATGCAGTTGTTCACACATTACAACACATTTAACTGTCGTTCACGACTTTTGTGATGTTACGACGACAAACTGTTGTGACAATGGGACGAGCAAGAACGACAGTAGTCCGATGATAAATAAAACGTCGCAATAAAAATGTGACGACAGATAATCGCAACAAACGATTCTATCGTGTAAACGACAAAGCGGCTGCCGTGAGCCGATACATTTTCGTCACGATCTAATGGGAACAGCTAGACACGACAGTCGTTCAACGATAAAATAAACGTCCACTGATAGTCGTGTTATG